TTAAGGGACAAGCATGTATGGACAGACACAGTAATGACTAAAAAAGGGCAGGCCATTCTACGCAGAAATCGCATTAGGTACCTTACTGCAGCGGTATGAAACTGTCTGCACTTTCTCCCAAAAAAGCATAACCTCCATTGAGCCAAGAGCATTGGATATATTGATGATAGCTGCCTTGCTGCAGCTCAGCCCTTCCCTTGGACTTCGCTGGGCTGCCTTCTTCAACAGGGGCAAAAAGGCCTTTGACAGTGGAAGAAAAAGAGAGAATGGGTTGCAGTTAGGTCTGTGAAAACATGCCATGCAATGACAATCATCAAAAACTGGCTGATAAAAAAAAAGGTGACCAATTTAGCCTCACCCTGCAATGACCTCACTGTATCACAAGCTCTATGCCCCCCCTTTTTTTTTTAAGTGTGACCCCAAACATGGCATCTATTCTGTATCAGCTACTCTAGTAGTTGCCAGTTTCTTCTGAACCAAATCAGAAGTGTGAGGGATTAACACTGCTGAGAGATCAAGCAGGACAAGGAGGGGCACTACCTGATCAGGCCCCTACCACAGGAGATCCACCACAACAATCAGTGCAGTCTCCCTCCCTTGCTCCAAAATAGGGAGGGATCAAGATAATCCGCTTCCTCAGTTCTCTGTAATTGTCTTGTTACCACCATCTCCCATAACCTTCCTGACAAAGGGCAGGTGGGAGATAGGTCAATAGTTGTGAAGACAACTTTGGTCAAGAAATGGCCTCTTGAAGAGGGATGCATAACCTCCATTCACCATCACTAGTATCAAGGTCACATTCCTTAATCCCTGGAAACACAGATTAGCCAGGACTTTAGGTTTATGTTAAATAATAGAAGGTACTTTGCTCAAATGTGGTTTAAAACATTATATAATAAACAAACCTGACTCATTTGCAGGGGCCCAATGGTGTTGACTGAATATACGGCCATCATATCCTTGGCATTTTCATTTTCTAGATTTTTGAAGAACCAAATGCCAGCATTGTTGATTAGGAGGGTCAGA